AACGAAAAAATAATAAACAGAAAGTGATATATAAGGTATGCAGCAGAGATCACTGATGCTCATCGTTAGGCTCCTAATACTCAAAAGAACAGACTTGATGCTCATCAAAATTGCATAAATACTCATTTAAGAGAATCCGTGATTTTCACAAAAATTACAAGTTTGTCACCGGCTGTACAGTGATCACTGTACAACCGGCTGTACAGTATACGGATCCATCAGATGAGTCAAAACGACCCGTTGGCAGCCTCCTAATCCCTATTTTAGCTTACGTGTTGTTATTTTGCCTTGTATTCATGACCAAATATTTCACGTCAGTCTTATAATCTATTTCAAAAAGATAGGCAGACGTACGCTAAAATCGGAATCATGAGGTTGTCAACTAGTCATTTTGACTCACCTGATTGCTTTTTATAAGTTGACGTATTTATATGACACTTTATTGAGTACAAGATCTTATGTGACAATTCCGTAATAGTAGCATATCGTTATGTGACTCTTCCGATTACTTATTGAGTACAAGACCTTATGTATAAACTTTGGACTAATGTAATTCGGTCTGACTTGATAAGTTTAAATTTGTTGGGTCTAAGACTGAAATATAGTGGAGATTGTGACTTTCCTTTGACAGGCCCCTTCCCAAGCATGCAATAATTCTGCTCCTCGAGCTTATCGAGTATATCTACATTTAGAAATAATGTGATTACCATTATAATAATGAATATTACAATAACTGATACGTAGTATTTCATAGTTATATTTCATTAGAAATGCAAATGAGATAATCGTTATGTTTTCTTTTGAATAATTTATACTCGAATTGTTAATTTTAAGTTTCGCTCCAATAAGTTCAATAAAGTACTATCGTACGGAGTATATCTTATTATGATCATTGCTTCAAAACATTATAAAATTTGTCTCAGCTTAACTGAATTCATTTTTAATGAACTAAACACACACTCACACGCACACCTGTTATGATACTGCTTTGGGTTAAGAAATTAAAATTGTTGGGGATAATTCTGGGTATTTTCTAAGACTACGGGAGTATTGTGCGGACATAGCAAATACTCCCTCCATCCCGCTAAGATTGCCTCATTTTACCTTTTCGGGAAGTCCCACTAAGATTGTCTCATACCTAATTTGGTAAAGATTGTGTGGCTCTAAACCATTCTTACTTTATTCTTACTTTATCAATTTAATATCAACCACACAAAGTCACTTTTCTTAATAATCGTGACACCTTCTCTCGTTTCAATCTTAGTGGGATGGAGGTAGTACGACGACTTAGCAAAATTCAGTTGAAAGGAACTCCTGCTGGATTCGTTCTGTGGTACCAGTACTGACGAAGGCTGACTGTGATAATATCCGGATTTGACTGTCTAGAGGCTTTGGAGGATAGTCAATAGACACCAGGATTAGTGGAGTGCAAGCACCGACACCTCGACTATCAAAAAAAGAAAACAAAAAGAAAAGGAGAAATAGTATTGTGTCAGAGGCTTGTTGGGGTATTGGCCTATTGGGGTTATTTCAATTCAATTTCCACTCCATCTAGCAAAGGTAGCAGTGCAATACTGCTATTTGGAAATGGGTTGATAGGATTTAACCTGCACGGGTAGCTCAGTTGGTCGAGTGGTGGGAGATTTGGAACAATGGACCAAAGTTCGAATTCCCACAGCGACCGAGTGGAGGTCACATAACTTGAAATAAGGTTGGGTCTCTGGTGCGCACGGATGTATGGGCCTACTGCCATTCTGCTGACTGAGTCACCGTGACTAACCTCCTCACCATCCTATCGGGTCGGGGTGGGGGCTCCTCGGGTGGGAGATTCCAGGAACAATGGAAATGGGTTGATAGGGACTTTTGAACTGTACTAGCATAAGGGAGAGTTAGGAAATACTCCGTAATAAAACTCCTTACCATATTGAAGTTCTATTTTCAATTTAGAATATGTTAACCATTTATGATTTGTCAAAACTGATCAATTTTTTGACAAAGTACAAAAATTGATTGAATATGATGAAATATAAAAATGAATATATCATTCAAAATAATTACAAGACCACACAATTTAGAGCTCATTTGGTAAATATGAAATTGGCTTAATCAGATTTTCTATTGAAATTTATGAAATTCTCGCTCATTTAGAAACTACAATCTTAATTATTTTGATTATTATGTAATTTAACGCGCGAAATTAAAAGTTACATGTTTGGTGAAAAATGTCGCTAATAAAGCTAACGAACTAAAAAATAGGGTTACCAAAAACACCAAATCAGATCGGACTTAAACAAATCAAACAAGACAAGACCAAACCAGTATTCTATAGTTATAAAATACACAAAGGTCGATCATTTACAAGACCAAATCAGACAAACTTAAACAACCCACACAAAATTAGCAAATTTCAGTCTAAATTAAAACATCCTTATACACAAAGATCAAGCATTATACACACTTTATACACACCTTTGTGAGAAGACTATTTTTTTGTCTGTAACGGGATTTGGCCACAAACAGGTTTATTGAAATAATTATTCTATATTCGTAAATAAATTAATTATATGATGGATAAGTGTACCCGGGGGTATCTATCCGAGGGGTTACTGCGGGGAATAACCAAAGAGAAGTCAGAGCAAAAGTAAGAGATAGAATATATATATATATATATATATATATATATATATATATATATATATATATATATATATATATGTGTGTGTGTGTGTGTGTGTGTGTGTGTGTGTGTGTGTGTGTCTATATATATATATATATATATATATATATATATATATATATATATATATATATATATATATATATATATATATATATTGCTGAGAATGTAGTGAGCGTATTCAGAATGAATTACAAATGGGGAAAATGGGTGCTATTTATAGTAGTAATAAATGCAGATAGGGACACGTGTCATCATTCTGGTGGTCGAGGGGTCACCTCAACGGGGTGACACTGGCACTCGCATGTGGCCACATTAAATGCGGTGGTTGGATGTGACGTTTGTACTTGGTACGTTGATCCGGCGCACGTGGGTGAGAGATTCTGTCAAGGAGGTGCCCTCGGCCGTAGATGATTGGCCGAAGGCTCTTCATACCGGGGGCCTCTAGGTGCCGAGGGCTCTAGGTGTCGAGGGCTACTATTTCGCTGCTTTCTCCCGGACACTCTGAGTACTTTAAAGAAGCTGTAGTGTGAGTTTATTAGCCTTCAGCCAGGGGGCCGAAGGCACACCAGTGTCTGTTGTGGGCTGTTTGGCACTTGGGACGCTGTAATTTGGTCTGCCATGCTTCCTGGGTCTGTTGGGCCTTTGCTACAGTAGTGGGAGTCTATGGGCCGGGGGTTCTTGGGCCATATACTCCATCACTAAATTAATAAAAGAATTTATTAATACGGAGTATAATAATTTATCGAAATAATTGTACGGACATAGCAAATACTCCATCCGTTCCGCTAAGATTGCCCCATTTTACCTTTTTGGAAAGTCCCACTAAGATGTCCTACTAACACTGAAACAAAAGAAGGTCGTGAAGTTAATAAGAAAAGTGCATTTGTGTGGTTGATATTAAAGTGATAAAATAACAATAAAATAAAAATGAATTAGAATCACACAAGTTTTACAAGATTTGGTATGAAACAATTTCGGAGGTATTGATCGAAAAGAAAACATGAAACAATCTTAATGAGACGGAAGAAATATATGTAACCTACAATTCTTATAAAAAATATGGCATTAATTAACAAACTTATTAACAAAACAAAGAAACAAATTTATTATTAATACTTCGTACTCCGTAGCACTTTAATACAGAGTACTTTTTTTGAAGAACAAAAATACTTTAATACAATAGGAATAATAAATTTAGAGTCCGTTTGGTAACACGAAAATCGGCTGATTTGGCTGATTCTGCTGAAATTTATGAAGTTCTGGCTAAAGTGGCTGCATTGGCTGATTCTGCTGATTTAAGAAAAAAATACTTTTAAAATATATTTTATTAATAAAATAAAGAAAAAATTATATGTAAAAATAGCTAAAATGGTCATCTACAGTAACTTCAGCCAATACAGCCAGAAAAGTATCTTCAACCTTACTTTTTTTGCTTATTACACAATTCAGCGCGCGAAAGCAAAAATTACGTGTTTGGTGAAAAAGTTGGCTGATGAGCCGATAAACAATGTTACCAAACGGCCTCTTAAAGTAGACATTTGTTATAAACACTCATAACCTCATACTCCGTACTTTGTATAATTGTATCGGATCATTCTTCTGACTGACTCACCGTGACTAACCTCCTCATCCTCTTGTCGGGTCGGGTTTGGGGGCTCCTAGGGTGAGACCGTGAGAGATTCCACCTTTTGGATCGATGTATAATTGTATGGGAGTATTACTCTAAACATTGATCGGTTACGTGCCTCATTATACTCCATAAAGAAAAGGAGGTTTACTTAGCCATCTGACATCTATGCCTATGTTACAGACTAAGGAGAGAGGCAATCCAAACTCCCGTATTTTGGACTATGAAAGTATGAAAAAGAATCGCCGTCTTTACCCGCACGGATAGCTTAGTTGGTTCAGTGGTGGAAAATTTGGATCAAGTGACCAAGGTTCGAAACCCGCAGCGGCCGTGTGGAGGTCACAGAACCTGAAATAAGACTGGACCTCTGGTGCGCACGGGAAAAAGGCCTACCATCATTGGGTCGACCGAGTCACCGTGATTAACATCCTCCCAAAAATCCTGTCGGGTCGGGTATGGGGGCTCTTGGGGTGGGAGATTCCACCTTTTGGACCAAGAATCGTCGTCTTTTAGGAATAAGAACGGGAAACTCCCGCTTTTTCGTCTTTCACTAATTTTTTCTAGTTGCCTAAGTAAATTACTTCAATTATAGAGCTACACCTATTAGATCAAGCAGAAAGCTCGACCTAATAGAAAAATTAGCTCGACCTCATGCGGCTTGTAGGCTTTGGGCAGCACGAGGAGCGTCTGATAGGGCTACAAGTGTGGGGGCAAAATATAAGACCCTGATTAAAATAATACTCCATAGTTCTTAAAGTAGACAGAAACAGCTGAACAATGACAATTGGGAGTATCCTATTTAGATACGGAGTTCACTAAAAAATGTGGGGCACTAAACGATAGATTAGAAATATCCTTGGCCCCATATGTTCAAAAGTTGTAAAAAGAAAACCACAATGGCAGTAGTTTCAGTAAGCAACAATCTATCAACATGAACTTTATCCCCTTGAAGAAAAGCTTTGTCCCCTTAAAGCTTAGCATTCAAGCCAGAGTGGCAAGCTTTTGCCATGGCTCCATTTTCCTTGGAATCTGATTCAACTAATAAGCTAGGAGGCACATCCACAGCCGGTGAGCAATTAAAGAATCCATGGGGCTGCACAACATAGCAACACCAAGCTTATGATATATACCATTCACACTAATGCAAATACTATTCTAGAATTATTTATATAAAAAATGTTTGTACCATGAGCATGAAACCAGTGTGTTCCACGGGCATTACTGGCCAGTCTTCCAACCGTGGGACATGTGTCACCCCAAAAACATACCTGTAAAACTGTTCTGTTACACAATTCTTTTCCACCCTTTTAAGATCCATACATTTGGACTGAATTTATTAGACTGAGCTTAACTGGTTTGGTCTTTTAAGTAGTCTGTTTGAATTATGTGTAATTTGTTTTACTATTATTCACTTGGCGTGGTCTGATTTGATCTGTTTTAGTCTGGTTTGGTCTGTTTGTTTAAATCTGTTCTGCTCTCTTTAGGCTGAAATAAATCCAAACGAATAGGTCCTTGTATAATGTCCTCTAGCATTACTCTTTACTATCATGTCAAAAAAGGAGGGAAGACTCACTAACCATAGAACAATGTTGCTGTCTTCTAGGGAACGGTTCAATCTAACCCATGTGGCCAGTCCTTCTCCAACTCGCGGGTTTTGATTAGGAAATTCTCCTCCTGGAAACATCTCATCAGGACTATATGGGGTAACCCAAAGGTTGTGTTTTAGAAAAGCAGCCCTTCTTAGAAATTTGGCCTTTTGACCGGCTAATGGCAAACAGTTTGACCCAGGCACCAGCTTGTAGCCTGTCAACTCCCCAGTACGGTTCACTGTTCTTGTGTTCTTTATCTAAATTATTATTACATAATGTTGATGACAATTATTAGATAAAGTTTGCCTATCATGTATAGATATAACAATTAAACTGAAAAAAAGGTGCCGTCTCATAATTATAGAATACGGAAAACAAAAACAATTTAAGAAAGAGCACAAGTATTAATCACGAATAAACATGTGCTTAATTTGTTTTTCAAAGGAGAAAATAACCCAGGATGAGAACAATAAATAACCGTACAATCCAATGTCGAGCAGACGAAGGATTACAGTCACGCATAGCTTCCAGTTCAGTTTTGAGTAATCTCTCCTCAGCAAAAAATGCATTGTTATGGACATTACATTCACCTTGCTCTTCGACTTTAACATTTACTTCAACAACCTAAACACAAAAAAGAAAACACTGTTCAAACCTCACAAGGAATAACTAAAAACGGTTGGAAAGAGAAGACTAAAAATCTAGAATTAATGACAAGAGCATTCAAAAACACACTTCATGTAATCATTTATCAATACGTACAGAAAGAAGGGCAAGAATGAAAATTTACCTGATTATAGGCTTCTCCAGGATTGCAGTCAACAGACATGTCCAAACGAGCTACAAAGAAGTGCTGATGCACAGGTGCATATAGGCCAGGGGCAATGGTTGTCCCATATTTGCGTTGTTCCCCGGGTTGTAAAGCTCCTAGACTAAGAATTCCAGTGAGCTTAACCTCTGCTTGAATTTTCCCATCCTGCTTTAATATTTTATCAATGACTGACCATAAAGTGCCTGAAACAATTATTTGCCTGCCAGAGGAAGTTAAATAACTTGCCTGATAGAAATGCCAGAAAAAACCATATTCATAGTTTGCCACAGTACACATGAAAGAAACGGTCAATCGTCGTGAACGCCTTACTTCGGCTAAGCCTGTTCTCCAATCTTGATGTTTCCACAAGATTCCATGATCTTCCTCGTGCAAGCATACACAGTTTTCAATTGTTTCAACCCCTCCTGTGAAATTTGTGAAGTGTGCATCAAAATACTTTATGCAGCCTAAACAATCACAGCCCTGCCAACCAAAAGTCAATCCAATTCATTTGAGTAATTGAGTTTACTCCAAATATGGTAAAATAAGGAAAGATAATGTATAATGTACAAAAGGATGTATTCTTACCTTCTTTAGTGAGTGAGCATTTTTACCTAGCCCATCTTCACCAGCATCAAATGCATTTTTCCTGTAGTGAGGATCGTTTGGATCACCATACGGGACTACCATCTCAACAAAGCTTAATCTATGAGCCACGGGTCTGCGGCCTCTGCTACCATCAACATAAGCAACAGAGTATATAACCAAACCTTCCTTGGGGGTGAAGCCAATGCGAAAGCTCCACTACAAAAAAGCAGAATAATAGGAATCAGATTTTAAACCGCATGGCATTTGTCAGTAAAATATGATAATAAATCAGGGTTAGCTGCTAATGTACCTTCTGCCATTGAACAAAGTGTCCATAAACACGGAAGCTAGGACCTTCAGGTTGAATGATATGCAGAGGTTTCACATCACTCCGATCAACACCTCCTCTTGTACCACCAGCTGTGTAATTTCTCAATGGATCAACAGGGGGTAGGGGAACGAATTTACGGTCTTCAAATTCCAAAACAACCATATTTTGCATATCTACCAGGATATATATCCCTTCAATGGGACGGGCATAACCATTTTCCATTGGGCAATCACTTTCTGTTCGACAGAAAATAAGAGGCTTTGCAAGTCTGCGATTAGGCGCATCAGCGTCACTGTGATAGCCAACACACCTGCAGAGAAAAAAAGATCTGATTCTGATATCATAATATATCATTTAAGGAATTAATGAAATATAAATGGGAATGCATCAACCTACCAGGCGTCGACCATGACAAGATCCATATCCACAATACCTCTCTTTTTCATAGCCTCCCGAAAGGGAGGAAAATCTTTAATTACAGATTCACATTCAGCATATTCAGCAGCATCCTGCAACGAAAGAAAAAACTTAGGAATGACACCTTGTCAAACAACAATTCTTTTTCCTAAAATAAGAAAACCATTGCTTTATTGGTAATTATGAATTTATAATTATTTCAAACAGTAAACTCCAGAAAAATTATCAGTAGTATGTGCAATCATGGTTCCAAATGGGTATAAAGTCAATTAATAAAAACACATCCCATAAAATTAGTTCACATCAACATTCCATGATTATGCATGCAAAGGAATTAAGGAATCATATACCATCGAAGGCTGCACATCAAGCAAAACCTTAGAAGAAATTACTTTCCCCCGATGGTGGCCCCCACGAGTTACAGCGTGAACCTCTGAAAGCTCAACAATCCAGATGCTTGTTTCATTTGACTTCTTATTGTAGACAACAAGTCTCGCTTGTCTAGGTGGAAGTTTAGTGGGAATGACAGGACCCTTTTTCTTTCTCGGTAGTAATGATAGTTGAAAAGGAGGAAAGAAGTAAGCATCTGCTAATGCAACCACATTCTTATCAGGTTCCATTAACGCAACTTCAACAAACCGCATACTATCTCTCACCTAAAGATCAACATCAGTATCATGTACTGCTATATAAACACCTAATTTAAATTCTATTTTAAGATAGTGTAATATATATAACAATCAAACCTCAGGAGTTGCACCAGCTGCCCTAACAGTTGCTACAGCCACTAAGATCTCAGCAGCTGATAATGGCTCCAAAGGATGGGGGGTATGTGTCCTCATCATTGTCGGTAAGCCTGTAAATTACAAATTAGAAAATTATCTCAGAACCAATCCTCGCAAAATTATCCATAAACTTAAATTCAAGTCTAACAATGACTAATAAGGCTTCACTAGCAAGTCTTTGATGCCTCGATGCAGATAAGAGTGAAGTTGGCGCAACATAAGTGGTATATCTAATCCAATCCCAAGAATATAAAGATTTGTGATTCGACACAAAGGAAAGTAATCAAGCAGAGGCCAAAATACATTACAGTATCTCTAAGGAAGCAGCATGGTCTTCAAAAGGGCACATGCCAACATGGTGATACACATCAAAGCGTCATCTTTCTATGCATGAAATTAATCAACAACAAAATATACACCCAAACATACCTATAATTCTATAACGTGGATGTGAGCAAATATGTACATATATACGTATAATTGACAATAGTTACACAGGTGACGTATAACTGCACCATGGCAGATTAGCAACACATACACACGCATGCTCACCTGTTATAGAAGGCAGATTCAGCGTAGGAGGTTGATCAGGGGAGTCAGTCACTGTCTCCACTGGTGGAGGGCTGGAGGTTCTAGTGGATTTCAGGCGACCGATGCCGCGATCACCGCTGGCGGCGTATTCGTGAAAAACGCCGTTGCCCGCAACAGCAACGGTGGAAGCATTTGACAGAGCAAGCGTCGCTTTTTCCGCAGTTGAGGCCATTGCAACGGGTTCGCTAGCTCGATGTATCCGCCGTAGTAATTATCACTGCGAAAATGACAGCAATAACTCTCCTCTGACATACAGCGAGAATAGTCTCTCACTCTGCGGTTCTACAATCCGCCTCCCCTGAAGACCAGCACTTCGTATCTCCTCCTTATTTGTTGTTCGAGGTCTAAGGGAGGCCAAAATTGAGTCTTTCGAGCGTACCTGAGAATGACGCCTCTGCAATTTCAGGGGTTTTAGTCGTACCGTGGGTGTATATACCAGCGCAGCGTGTCTTACCAGTGCAGTGGGGGAGGGAGACGAATACTTGTAGTCTGTTATGAGAATAAGCATTTAAACTTTTAGGAATAAATTTAATAGAATATCTATAATTTAGAGTTGGTTTGGTAACTCCTTTTTTTGGTTTATCATGCTTATCAGATAATATTTTTACCAAACGTGTAAATTTTGATTTTGAACGTTGAATTGTATAATAATAATAAGAAAAGTAAGGTAGGTGTTACTTTTCTAGCTGTATTGACTAAAATTATTGTAGAGGACTATTTTAGCTGTTTTTCATATAAATTTTTCTTTATTTTATTAATACAATTTATTTAAATACGGAGTATAATTTTTTCGTTAATCAGCAGAATCAGTCAACGCAGCCACCTCAACCAGAACTTCATAAATTTCAATAGAATCAGTCGATTGAACCTATTTCGACCTTACCAAACGTGCTCATAGTAACAAATTTTAATATTATAGAAATTTAGTAATTGTGGTAATAATATTAATAATGAAACAACGATAACAACAACAAAAGTAAATCAAAATAAATTGCTCAACAACAACATAAATAAACTTTTAAAATAGTACTCGAATTATCTTTCAAATTTCTTTTTTTGTTTATCCTAAAATAATCTCTCATTTCCGTTTTGACACAGAATTTGTGGTTCATAATATTTTTTACACATTCTAACACATTTCTCCTTCACACAACTATCCACCACACAATTCACACTTTTTTAATTACCGTGCAAAATGTAATTAAAAATGTTTAGGAACAAATGTTCTTTTAAGAAAAGGAAATTTTATAGATATAAAAAAAGAGTACAATGCATGAAAGGAAAAGATAAAATAAAAGTACATGAAAGAAAAGAAATAAAAGTGCTAAAATAAAGGAAAAGCATTAATAGAAGAAAAAAGAGCTAATTCCATGGGAAATATCTGGATTGGGACCGGCCTAGTTTTAATGTTGTGGCGCCTTTTTAGGGACGAATGTAGAACAAAGTATATTTTCTTCACCCGTGTGCGTACCCTTTGTGACTCTCATACATAGTTGAAAACACATAGAGGTGATCCCGAGACTCAATATGAGTATTCCCAAATTAATTGATGTTTATTACACTTAATGAATTATATGATGCCCGACATAGCTTATGTTGTCGAAAGATTGAGCTAATATACTAATAACCCAAGTGAGGATCATTGGACTGCGTTGGAGCGGTTATTGAAATATTTGAGAGGTACCATTAATTATGATTTTTTTTTATTGAGATTATCCGTTGTAATCTATTGATACAACGATGATATGTTTTATTGAGAAATATCCATTGTCCTAGAGTGGTACAATGATGTTATATGAGAATTATCCATTGTACTATAATGATATAATGATGGTATATATTTAATTGAGAATTATCCGATGTGCTAGAGGGTCATATCGATGTTATATTTTATTGAGAGTTATATGTTGTATTGCCGGGATACAACGACGACATTTGAGTATACTCACATGAGATAAATTAAAACAGTGGATATCCATTCACCCTTAAAAGTGGTGCAATGATGTTTGAGAATGGAATTATCTCCATTAATTTTGTGAAGTTTGAAGGAATTAGCTACTCCTTTGACAGAATCCCTAGGACGAAAAATGATAACCGAAACATCGAAGGAAATGAGACTAGTGTCACTTTGAAACAAATGAGGATGGGAATCCAAACTTATGTGATTGGAGATCCCATGAAGCAAGTTCATATGGGTAATAACAAGTCTTCCATTTAGTTATGCTAGCCTAACTAAAATGCCCATTTCCATTATGTAAGATACATGTTAGAAACCGCATTCTTTGAGAGTGTGAGCTAAAAACTCTTAATGATTATCATATCCCTTAATTTTAGGGTGGTGTGCAAAAACAGTACACACTTGATGATATCACATATATGAGTGTGAGGTGGGGCCGCCTCCATGAAGCATGACAAAACTTCTAGAGCATTCATGAAAACCAAGCACGCGCATGGCCTTACGGCGCACAACGACGTAATAACGAGAAATTGTGCAGGGTGAAAAACCACCGTTAAGACCCTGATTTACCAATAGTAGCTTGTTGGTTCAAAAACTATACGTTTCACCAAAAACTCGGTTTATTAAGATTTAATCGTCTCAGTTTGGTTCATAATCTACGGACATCAAACTTAAAGTCTCATTCCTTTAATCCGGCAGAAGATTTTAAACTGATTTCAAAGTCTCAAAAAATTCATTTGAAATATGTGGGGGATTGTTGGAAAAATTGTAGTATTTCAAATGAATAAAATGTTATTTCCTTTAATAATTTTTCACACACTAATTTAATAATAAATCTTATACACCTATTATATATAATAAAATTATAATTATAATTATGTTTGAACGTTACAAAACTTTGAATAGTTTATTGACTATTAATTAATATGGTTAATGAACAAACTCATTTCACCTTCTATATAAATCTGCTCGTACGAGTTGTTGCTTCAATTATATATCATTACAGAGTGTATTATTATTCGTCCTGGTAGCCACAACGATTCTTCTAATGTCGATCGGTTAAGAATCCTTCTTATATGTACTATATGGATTATTTATATTATTCGACTCTCGTTGTTCTGTTACCGGCTTACGTCGAAGTGCTCGTTTTATCTTGGGGAAATACTAAAGGTTTTTGCTAGTCGGAAATACTTTCTTGAGGACAGCGTTTACGCGACTCGAGCTATATTATTTTCTAACGTTTTTTTGCAGGTTTATCCGACCAATTTCCACCAACAGCGCATTCAAAAACCACTTTATACAATCTTGTTTCATCTTATTTGCTTGATTCCATCCATTTAGTAAAACTCCTAAAAATGTTTCCAGAATTGCCTTGCAAAAGGACATTGCAATAGTATGTGATCTTGGGATAGAGTGTTGTTCATACATAGGGGAAAATGGACCGGTAAATAACATAGAACCTAGCCAGATGCTTTGGGAATTACGCTTACGTGTTTTTTAGTACAAGTAGCTACCGGGTTTGCTATGACTTTTTACTATCGTCCGACTCTTATAGAGACATTTGCTTCTGTTCAATAACTTCTGTAATTTCTAATCTTTAGGAAAGGATTAGTGGTAGAGGAAATGTTGAAAGGAGTACAGGCTAATGAATGGATAAACAATTGCGACTGAATTTACTTAAATACGTACCCTAAGACTGACTTAAGTGAGTTAATAATATATATATACTCCGTAGTACTATGTTTACAGATTATGAGAAAGAAGTGGAAACTTTTTTTTAGCAATTCTTTCTAATCTATTATAGTATGAGAGAATTCCCCAAATGAGACTAAAACATAGTAAATGTGCACAAATAAGACTTGTAGTTTATTTTTCCCTAAATAAGACTCTTAATTCACGATTGGACAATATTATCCTTAATGAATTTAGCGCATGATCCGTAGACCTACGGCTACTCTATTTCGATGCTCTGCAAGGTGTGAATTCTCATCTTCTTCTTCAGCCAAGTCAGGTACGTAATCTGAATTTTATTTATTAATTTGAAATCTGAAAATATCAGAATCTCGGGATGGGCGCGGTCCGGAACGGTCCGGTAAATTACTAAAACCCGTAATGTATCCGTGAGGTTTTTAACGGTCCGGTACGGTCCGGTTCAAAGAATGGAACCATTCGGTACCATGTCGTTTCGGAACGGTACAAAACGGTACGGTACAATGCCAAACACATGCTAAAAAAATTGGACAAATTTTGCAATTAGTAGATATCATCACACCAACCAACTCACTTGAAATGTTGATATAAATACAAAAAATTACATACGTAGTACTCAAATTTACAAATACACAAATAGTGCAACACAACAAAGAAAAATATATCAAAATGATGACACACAAGATATATAGCATCTTTAATTTACTAAGTTCATGTGAACATAAAAAAAGAATATTATCAAATTGTTGAATATAATAGAAAACTTCAACGTTCTTCTTCTTTATTCTAGGTTAAATATTATTCCATATATAATTCTAATCTTAACCTTGAGAGCTAAGATTTAAACCATATTAATTAAGTCGTAAAATTCCACAAACATGATACAACAAAAAGTCATATACACTACATTACTAGAAATGAATAGTCATTAATCTTTTTTAAAACTTTAACATTCTTTCAATACATTCCAAAATATAACATAGATTATCTAAAAAGAAAAAATAACAATATATATATACATATATATATATATATATATATATATATATATATATATATATATATAAACACACACATTTAGCTATTTTAGGGATGCATGAACACATACTTGGGCTATAAAAATTGTTGGTCTAGAAAAGAGACTTATTGATATGGAAAAAATATAAAAATTCAACATGCATTATTTTTTAGCGGCCCGGTCCGGTATTTTTCGGTTCTCAAAACCTAGGACCGGTCCCATACCCGTTTAAAACGGTATGGTTTCGGTACGGGATGAAAATCTATAGAACCGTTTAAATACCCGGTACTCGGTTCGGTACCATTACGGGACGGTTCGGTACCGGTTCGGTTCGGGTGTTATGCCCACCCCTATCAAAATCCCAAGTTGTGTACTTGCAGACCTCCAATGAGGCTGTCAAGAATAATGGCATGATGATGGAAGTTTCGTATAAAAACTGACATTCTCAGTTATGTCATTCTCAGATAAGCCATAAAAATGCCATAAAATGTCATAACAATGACATTTTCTTATGGACATATGACATTTTCAGATTGTCATTTTGATATATATACTACCACAAAAGTGGCATTTTTTTCAAATAACCAATAATTTTGACATTCTCAGATTATAAAAGTGTCATTTTTCTGAATAAATAAAATTCAAATCCAAAAAAATCAAATCAATAAATAGAATTTAAAAAGGTAGTAGATGAATAGAAAAAAAACAGAAAACAGAGTGGAGGAGGGGGAAGAAGTGCACTAGGGGATGAAGAAAGAAAGAAGGAAGAAGAAGAGAAGAAGAGAAAAGAAGAAGAGAAGAGAAGAAAAGAAGAGGAGATGGAGAAATTACCTGGGTGTCGTCGGAGAATCGAGCAAGCGGACGCCATAGAGAATCGAGCAAGCGGATGCCATATGTAATCGATGCCTTCTTTCTAGAGAGCTCTGGAGTCGCGGAAGAGAAGAGCCGAAGAGGAGACTACGAATTTAGGGATTTAATAGACTAGAGGTAGAATGGTAATAGGGAGTCCTATTTAGGGAATATAAAACATTAAGTCCTATTATGGAATTTTTAGCATGTTTTAGTTCTATTTAGGACAATTTTTTCTTATAGTATTTGTTCTATGTTAAGGGCAACATCCTTGACTGGGATGAGATTCGAACCTGTTACCTCCTCTTCGGGAGTGTCAAAGTAATGTCATCAGACCACAAGTTACTTGGAAAAAGTGAAACTTTTTAAGGAATGAAATTCTCCTTTTAAGTACATATGACAAGACTGGTCAATATAATTAGGAAAATGCTTAGCGTACATGAATTGTACACAAATTGTACACAAAACCCCCTTAGTTGCCTGTGTACACATGCAATTCATTTAGAAAAGGGCAGAATTTGATACCCAATTGCCTGTGTACACAGACAATGTACATATTGTGTGTACATCTTGTGTACACCAAGCATGACCCATATATTTAATATACATACTTATTTCGGTACATTCAAGTCAAATACAGCTAAAATTATATACTGAATGTGATCACTAATAATAATTACAATTACAGAATAGCGTGAAATCGCTAAGAAACCTGAAACCACTATTTCCTTATATTGAATTTCATTAATCTAGAAGTTAAAAAATTGATCTATCTATCCAAGACTTAAAAGATGAAAATGATCGATATAAGATTCAAATTATTGAAAATTATCACTCTAAACTAAAATTATTTTAATTATTTTGAATTTTTTTTTTATTAAACTAGTTAAGGGTTAAAACTTTTGGCTAAAACTTAGCAATAAAATACTCCTCTCATTCCATTGAAAGTTTCTTACTTTCCTTTTTTGGACGTCCCATATAAAAATTTTCATTTTCATTTTAGGAAATAATAATTAACAATCTTAAGTGACAAATTAATCATTAAATATTAAAAATAATACATTTATAACATCAGACATCACATTTATCAATACTAACTAGTAACTACATTATAATATATACCTTTTTAAAATTATTTCTCAAAATATATTCAAACTATTCCATTTAATTATTATCTAAATAAGCGTACATTTTACTATAAGAACCTTCTATCGTGAGTGACCTATGTAGTAAATAATGGTAGAAACTAAAATCATGCCGTCTCTGCTTGGCTACGGGACACTTGTTAAGAGTTACCAACCCGCGTCGTGCTTTAATCGGGCCGACCCGCGTAAAGGACCGCAAAATCACGCATTGTCACACCTATCCTCTGAAAGGACCCGCACCAATTTCGGGTCCCGCTTTCCCTGATAAGGTTCTTGAGAGTTGTGAAGTGACGACTATAAATTAAGTACCGAACCCAACAATTGTCAAGCTTGAAGAAGTAAGCAAGCAAGCAAGCTATTCGAAAGGCAGTTTCTTCTTCTTCTTCTTCTCATAAAAATGGTTGGGCTTTCTCCGGTCAAAGTCAAATTCCTCTGTAGTTACGGCGGCAAGATTCTTCCTCGCCATCCGGACGGCAAGCTCCGTTACTATGGTGGTGAGACGCGTGTACTATCTGTAGATCGCTCCATCTCCTTTTCCGGTTAGTTATTCAATTTAAATTTATGAAATTCTGTGCCTTTCACGCAATTACACGTGTTCATAGATGTATATGCTTTGTTTTTTCGATCACGCAAAATTAATTTGATACTTTGTCGCCTATAAACTGTTTGTATAAATTCCTCTAAGAATATGAATTTGATGGTACTCGTGAGAGTTCTTATACGGAGTATTTGTTGGTGCACATCATCTATAAGTATAAATTCCTCCCATAAATGGTCGTAATTGTGCTATTAAAAATCCTGACATTTAGTTATCTGTTCATGTAAGTTCTTCCGAGAAGATGGATTTGATTGAACAATTTGAAAACACAATTATTTTGCTGTACCCACTACTTGTTTGTGTAAATTCCTCTTACCACACAAGACAATGTGTTTTGTAGTTGTGAAAGAACATGGAACTGAAATGCTTTTGTGTTTATGTATGTATAATCACAGAGCTGTTGATGAAGCTCGGAGAAATGTATGGTTCACCGGTGTGTCTGAGGTGTCAGCTGCCGACGGAAGACTTAGATGCTCTGGTTTCCATAACTTCCGATGAGGATCTTGCAAATATCCTAGAGGAATACGATCAAAGCGGTTCATTGTCAATAAAGATCCGATCTTTCCTTTCTCCACTCAAATCTACCAATAACGGCAATAAGTACTCCCATTCGCCCTCCAGTGCTTCTTCCTCATCCACTACTGATGATTCTATGTCCCCAAAATTGCCCTACTCTGCTCCTAGACACTTTTTAGCCCCATCTCCTAGTTATGTCCACCACATATCAAAGCCATCTATGATGTGTCCTTCTTATGAGAGAAGTAGTGGAAGAACTCCTCACTGGGCCCACCACTTCGGTCCTGGGAACAATAATGGCCACGTTTATCCCATCCACCATGGCCATCACTGAATCACTGGCAATTATGGAAGCTCCTGGAGCTTATAAAAAAAAGGGAAACATTCATTGAATATAAATATGTCATCTTCATATGCCAATATCCCTCCGTTTACTTTTACTTGCCGTTTACTTTCTTACTTGTGGGTTTTTATTACTTGCCCCTCGTTTAGCATTACAAATGTATAGAAGGCATATATAAATGTCCTTATATTTTCATCTTCTCTTCTGTTCTCTACCGTTTCATTTCATTTTCCTATTTTTTCAACACCATACCTTTTCTGCCTAATCCCATCCTGGCGAAAAGTCTACCTGAACACGTGAAAATAAACGGAGGGGTTATTCAAGAAACGTGGAGAAACCATTAACCCAAAAAGAAAAGAAAGAAAGAAAGAAGAGCTGAGAAGATGCGTGAATGATAAGGGCAATTATCATAGAAAAGGATTGTTGTTTTCCTGATTTGTCCAGCCGCAGTTTGTTTGTTGAACTATATAGTGCTAGTTGAATTCAATTTTGAATCCTTCCAATATGACGAAGGTTCCTTGCCAAGACTCTTTTATTATGTTCTTGCAAGCTGGTTGTATATAAATATTCGATTCGCAATTCATTGATTCATTCTCTGTATTAATCATAGCTAAAGCATTATTTGCAGTAATATTCCTTATTCTTTTTCAATTTTGTTAACCGAGTATGGGTGTAAATTGTTTGCCTTGAATCATTTTACGCTTATTCCTTTCGACTTTGGGGTGCCTAAGATAGCAGCCTTAAATCAATATAAATGCTCCCTCCAAACAACCACTATAAATGCTTCATCCTTTCATTTATCATTTTTAAACAATAAGGTCTAATTTGGAATTGCGTGTGGGGAACTTATTTGTCCTTGTATAATCCTAAACTAATTATATGCGCAGTAGTTCCTGACGTTGGTTTTTTGTTTGAAAATTAGTTCCTGTCGTTGTTAACAAACTGATTCCAAAAGCTACCGTTTGCAAGTCATAAGAGGATGACTTTTAAATAATTTTAAAACCTACGCTTACTTTGTTGAGCTAAAGGTAAAAAAAATTGAGACATATTGGACATATTTGGTTTGGAATTTCGAAGTAAGTTTCGAATCAGAACTTTTATTCAATTTTGACCTAGTGAAAGTAGATTCCTTAAACCTGTAAAGAGCATTCACATAGAAGAGAATGGATGGCAAAGAAGCGTTTGAAAATGGAAGGTTTAAACCACACATGGCTAGAATGGGTTCATCTGTCCCAATCACATTCCCCACATCATGGAAAAGAGCATTCCAGACTTCCCGTTGAAGGCTGGAAAGAATGAGTTATGCTAGATGTACAAACACTTTTACAAAAAGTCTTATAAAAAGTCTTATAAAAAGGGTATGTGGCATCATCTCATTATTTAACACATCACATCACATTTACAACACTTTTACATCAATGGTAATTAGAATAGCCACATCACTTGTTTGTAAATTTTTTTGTAAGTGTGTTTGTACTTCTAGCATTTTTCTGAAAGAATTGTACCACCTCCATCTCATTCAAAGGTTCTCGTCCACTATTCACTTGGGTAACTTAAATCATTCTTAATCTTTTACGGTATATATCAAATTTTTACTACCTCCATCCCTGAAAGAACTTCCATAGTAAAAATGACACGAGGATTAAGAAAGTGAGTATTGTGTCGTGGAGAGTTGTGCATAGGAAAGATAATTGTGTAAGAATTGTTGTGAACCACAAATTCTTTGCCAAAAAAAGAAAGTGAAAGTTTTTTTTTGGACGCCCAAAAAGGAAAGTTGAAAGTATTTTTAGGGAGTATCAAATTTAAATTTTTTGATCAGACTTTGTAAGATTTCAAATGTAATTTTCGAATATATAAATTTTATTTATTAAAAATAATTAAAGTGTGACTAGGGATCAAGTTGTTTTATCATCAGTCAAACATCGTAAATTGAAATAAAAAGTAGATAAAAAATTTGTAACCAAATATTATACGTTTGGACTGAGTTTGTTACAAAATATAATACAGAAGATGGCCTAATATATAATAAAAGTATATCCCCGCCAGCTTTCACGTGCAACGGCTTTATCACATACCCGAATGAAACACCGGCCCTTGTACAAATGACACTTGGATGGTCGCAATGTTTTCCTTCTTATAATAACGCTATAAAACAAAAAGATGACATTTGCAATCCTTTAGTTTAGTATTATCCATACTTTCCAGTCCAACCGTCTTTATAAAGGTATGAATGTTATTAAATGTATCTAATTTCATTGATTTGATTGGACTTATACCCCGTCCTATTATAACTTGCGATTTTCTTTTTTCGTCCGTTCCAATTAAAACTTTCACTTTCTTTTTTGGTAAAGAATTTGTGGTTCACAGCATTTCTTACACATTTCTCTATTCTCTGCACAATTCTCCACCATATAACATCCATTATCTTAAATTGTGTGTCAAACTTATTTGAAAGTTATAATAGGAACGAAAGCAGTATATTCTTATATATCTTGTTAGCGTATCTCTTTCTAATAGTATCTTTTTTGTAATAAATTGCTTATATTAAATCACCAGAAACCGAATATGAATCTTCAGGTCAGGCTTGATTTACCTCTATCACCTCTAAAAAAAAGAGATAGACACCTCCTCATCAATGAGGGTCCCCCAATCCCGACTGGACAGTACGTTGGGAGGATGTAAATTGGACTATAATCCCAATCTGACAGATAGATAGTGGGGCTCATCGCATATTTTACTATAGTAATTCCTCACCGCAGTTGACGTGATTCGAACCCGGAACCTAACCCCTGTGACACTCTCTTACTACCAGTTGAGCTACGCCCACCGGTATCTCTATCACCTCTATCCTATTCAAATTCAGCATGTCTAATAATATTACAAGTAAACAAAAGTTAGTAAGTTTTTCTTATTCAAAATTTGCCCCAAATTAAAACCTAACCATACCCCATTCTATTTCTCGAATTTCATTCTTCTTTTCAAAGGCTTCCCAATATTCAGGTAAACCTTGGTCCTTAGACGTGTCTTCCTTATTCATCAAACTGATATAATCAATTTTAAGAAAATTTCCCATAAATTTCCCGCACTACTACTTATAGGTCCAGAAGCTCCATTGGGGTTATAGGCTTGTTTCCGAAATTCTGAAAAAATAAGCGGAACATTAAGTGGCAAATCTTCTGAATTAAGAACACGAATAACGAAAGATTATGTCCAAACAGTCGGTGATCATTCTTTAGGACATGATTCACATCAATTTTATGGTAAAATCGAAGCAAATATCTCTATTCTTCGATTTCCTTTGACTAAAACTTTTTTAATTGAACGTCATAATGCAGCCAAAACATTCCTAAAAACGGGAAATTTCATTAAAAGAAAAAAACTAAAATAGGAAATTTCATAATCTTATCGAGTATGAAATAACTTAACAACCAAAACATCGTCACTTTCCCTTTTGGGACGTTCCAAAAAACTTTGTCACTTTCCCTTCTAATCAATTATCTTGTGGTTTCTGTTATTTTTCTCTCTTCTCCACAAATCTCAACAACACAGTTTTTACTTTATTATTTTTCGCACCGGTCAACTTTGGCAATGTTTTAAGGGACGAAGGTAGTATATCACTTTATACGCTAGTGTTAATGAGTACTGTATATTATGCATATTATTTGCCCTAAATAGGACTAAAATAATGGGAAAGTTCCTAAATAGGAGTACTCCCTAATTTATTCCCCAAATAGGACTAAATTAGATAGTCTTTCGGTTCTGCCCTTCTCTCCTCATTCTTACCTACGTCTACCTCTCTCCCCATTCTCACGCACATCTCCCCTCTTTCCTTTCATATCTCCTCTCTACTTCACCTTCTCCGCCCAAATCTTCCTTCATTTCTGTCAATTCTTCATTCACTTTCGCCGCCACTCTTTACCAGTTCAACCTCCACCAGCTTCATCCCTCTTCAACGATTTCTGATCGCCATTCCAGTTATGAGGTAATTGATTTGTGTTTGTTCTTTGTCTTCTTCATCTACTCATCCTCAATCTCCTTTCCTTACCCTTTGTTTTTACTCTCCACTCTCCAGATTCTTTTTTTTATTCAGATCTTGAAATAAAAAATTACATTTTAGATCTGAATATTTTGATTACGAAAAGGCAAGGCTTCAATTCAACAATGGTTATCGGAATTTTTTGGTTTCAACTTTTTCTATTATTATTTTTAATTTATTTTTAAAAATAGAAGTACTTTTTCTAATCATCTGAAATCACAAAATGACATAAACTTTTTTAACTCGAGTATTGCTTCGTCAAAAACAGAAACTCAAGTATTGCTTTGAAAATTGCCATTTAATGCCATTATTAGGCATTGCCATGTTTTATTCGTTTGGTAATTAGTTCCATTTTATGGCACTAATTAACTTTATGGATAAGTATTAATTTTAATGCCATGTTTTTGTGGCAGTGAATACCATGTTTTATCTAAAAAATTCATGATTTTGTAATCTCAAAATGCCATATTTTGGATCTTGAAAGTCATAATATATTATGTAAATAACAATTACATTAGAGATTTACAACAAACTAAATGATCCGGAGGATGTGGTGGTCATGCCAGAGATCCGCCACAGCCTCACCGGAATAGGCGGCAGAAACAGCGAAGGCGGTGGTGGTGGCGGCGGCGGCAACAGCGTGGCGGCGGCAGATGAGCCGATAGGGTGTGGCAGAAGTGACAACAACGTTTGATGAGGCGGTCGACGGCGACAGAGACCGATGGCGACAGCGGCCGACGGCGGCGACTACGGCCAGTGACGGCAGTAGAGATGTGGTGGTTGTGCCCTAGGGTAGCGGTTGTGCCATCTACTTGTTTGTCCACTGTAATATTTTGTTTTATTATTTTGTTTAAATAATAATTAATAAAGAAACCATGCTATCATTAAGGGTAATTTTGTCACACCCTTATCTTTAGCTCCTACGAAACATTCAGGTCTTATTTTTACACTTTTGTACTATTTTACTCCTATTGAGGTAATTTAGTCATATTATGCATAGATTACGGCTGAAAATATTTAAAAAGGAGTACTTTTTTTCTTTTACACCAACAATCCTTGCTAAAGAGGAAAGTAAACTTATTAGTGTCTTTATCATTTACTTTTGACAAATTTATCCTAGAACTAGTTTTCGCAACGCGCGCTGCGCGATGGAGATTGTGCCCAATGTGTTTTTATAATAGAGATAATGGCCAATGTGTAAGAAGAGGTGCTTGGGATATATGTTAGGGGAAAGTGATAATGTTTGTGTGGTAGTGTGTGTACAACATGCATTCCCTTTTGAAATAACATTGAAATAGAACTCCTAAATAGAATAATGAAAATTTCATGATTGCGTTATTAGTGTGTAATTTATTAAAATGAGAGGAAATAGACATAATATTGTATCATGGAAACAAGCTTAGTAGTGTATTATGGGAAAATAAGTTTATGGTTGCAGGAGCGATAACATTAAAAAATCAAAATGGAACATAGTACTGCAAAAATGAATGAATTTGAATGTAATAACACAGTTAGGTGAGTTGTGGAATGGTTTGGATGGTTGTGTACTCTCTGTCACACTGTTTTGATGCGTTTATTTGGAGGACTTGAAGTGCTTGTGCTTTCACTGGGTGCAGTGTGATTGGCAGC